CCTGGGCTACATCGCAACACTTTCTTGACAGAAGGCCTTGCTAAATCACTCAGGCTGGCTTCGAACTTGTGGTCCTCCTGCCTCAGCCTTCCTACTTGTTGGAACTACATGTATGCACCACTATGGCTGCCTCACTCGCCTTTCTGTAGCTGTAAAAGTGATCCAATCCCAACCAAGATTTATTCAATAATGTAAAAACATAAACAATTTGGCATGTGGGTTATTTGGAACCCCATTATTTGTTCCCTCAAGTTCTCCTTTCAGAATTTCCCATTACAAATACACTACCTTGGGCCAGGTAGCTCAGTGGACTAAGCGCCTGCTTAGGCAAGCACAGGGACTGGGGTTCCATCGCCAGCCCCGCCCCTGGGCACCGAGCTGGCCACCGAGTCTGGGTGTGGGGGCACACGCCTATAATCCCAGCGCTAGGGAGGCTGAAAGCAGGAGGATCACTATGAGTCTGAGCCCAAGAGTCCGAGCTGCGTAGTGAGACCCTGTACCAAATACATTTCAAACAAACAAAAACAAATACGCTACCCTCAAAAACAATTTTTGACTCCTCATTTTACATCTGCCACCTTCTATTTTCCTTCTCCCTGTTTACACCAAACCTACAGAAGGCTGCTGGTGCAGGCAGTCCTCTGTCCTTTCCGGGACTCAATACCAGCCCAGTCAAGCAGCAGAGCAAGTGCTCCGCCACAGTCCTGGCAACCCTGGCCTTCTCCTCAGCTCACCGGATCTGGACAGCTCGGCCAGGTCCCCCCCACCCCGCCCCAGCGCTGTCCCCTTGCGCAGGGCCCGCACCAGGCCTCTTTCTTCCCAGCGCCGCCACCCTCCGGCCTGGTTTCCCACAGTTCCACACCCCCATGTGCCCCCTGCAGCCCTTCCCACACTCCACAGCCTGTCCCCCTGTGACCCCGGCCAGGCACATTTTATCTCCCATCGAATTGCTGACAGTTCCCCAGGGCGCTGGATTTCTCAGCCAGATCTCTTCTGAATTCCTGACTCATACCCCACAGCCACTTGGCATCTCTGCTTGGATTTCAAGCAGGAATCTCAAACATATCCTGACCAAAAATAAACTACCGATAGTTTCCCCATCCCACCCCCATGAAAGCCCTGCTGCTGCCGCTGTTTATCTTGTGTTCAGTTTAAGACTTCATTTTCAGTGGTTGTACATTTGGGGGAGGGTCTCTTGCTATGTAGCCCAGGCTGGCCTTAAAGTGGCAGCAATCCTCCTGCCTCAATCTGCTGAGTGCTGGGATGACAGGTGTACGCCACCACACTGGACAATGGCTGTGTAATTTCTGTTCTTTTTTTTTTTTTTTTAAAGTTTTTTGGCAGGATTGTTGTAACTGTTGTCATTGTTTTGAGACAGGGTCTCTATGTAATTCAAACTGGCCTTGCACTCACTGTGTAGCCCAAGCTGGCCTCAAACTCACAGGAATCTTCCTGCCTCAGCCTCCTGAGTGTTGGGATGACAGGTACCACTATGTCTGGCTTTAAATTTTTATTTTGAGGGCTGGTGAGATGGCTCAGTGGTCTAAAGCAACTACTTAGAACAAGCTTAGCAAAAACAAAGGGACCGCGGTTCAATCCCCCAGCACCACATGCCAGCCAGCCCCGCCCCCTGGTGGGCTGAGCTGGCCACACACACACACACACACACACACACACACACACACACACACCCACACACCCACACACACACACACACAGAATAAAAATTAAAAAAAATTTAAAAAATAAATTTTTATTTTGAGATTGGGTCTGACTAAGTCATTAAATAGGCTAGCCAAATAGTTCAGCAGATTAAGGCAGCTGCAAGCAGTTCAGCACCACCCCAGGGGCACACTGAGATGGCAATTGAGACTGGGCATGGTAGCACCCGCCTGGAGTCCCAGTTCTTGGGAGGCTGTAAACAGGTGGATCACTATGAGTTTGATCTAGTAGCGAGACCCTGAACACCCAGACCTTTCCCTAATATATATATTAAAAAAAAAGTCATTTAATAGCACAGACTGGGCTTCAATTAATGATTCTCCTGCCTCAGCCTACCGGGGTGCTGGAATTACAAACATTTGCCACCACACTTGCCTTGTATCAAATTTTTGTTCACTGGTTGAGGATTGCAGGCATTTCCTGGGGTTGCTTAACAAACCGCAAACCAGGTAGCCTCAGCACAACAGAAGTTTGTCATTTCTCAGAAGGTGAGAGTCTGAACTCCAGGTGTCAACAGAGCCCTAATGGAGGCTCCAAGGGGGACACTTCTTGCCTCTTCCTGCTTCTGTTAGCCACGGGAGCCACCCCACTGTGCAGCTGCAGCCCTCCTCTCAGGTCCTTGCTAAGCCACCACTGCAGCGTTATGACTTTGAACCCCTTTTGCCAGATTAACAGATCTACTTTGGCTTGTGCTACAATTAAAATGAGTCTAGTTCCTCTGCAGTCTTCCCTCATTAAATGTTTTAAAACAGCTGGGCATGGTGGTGCACATCTGTAATCCCAGCACTCACGTAGCTGAGGCAGTGAGAACACCTCAAGTCCAACGCCAGTTTGGGCTACATACTGAGTATGAGGCCAGTCTGAACTACGCAGTGCGCTCCTGTCTCAAGAAAAAACAAAATATTTTGTGTTAAAACAACAGGGACCAAGGATATAGCTCAGCGGTGCAGCACCTGCAAGGTAAGCACAAGGCCCTGAGTTCAATTCCTGATAAAAAAAAAAAAAAAAAAACCCAAAACAACAAAACTTACCCAGTTCCTTTAATGAGTGAGCCTTTTTCCCATGCAAAATAATTTCACAATGTTGTTTTGGCAAAACACAGCAGAGGTCTTAAACTTTTAACATGCGAGGAAAAAGGTTTTGTATATTTAGGAATTGTAAAAAAGCATAAATTACAACTAAAAATCTTTGGACTAGGAAATGCTCACAGAGAGCGAATAAAACTTCCGTGATACCAGACAGATTAAGTTTCAAGTGCCTGCCACCACCCTACACGTGGCTAGCGGAGCTCCTCTCCCAAGGGACGGTAGTAATTAACTGAACGAATTATATCTCCCTGGGAATTAGATGAAAGGTCTGGCGCTCAGAGGGAAAAGGCGAGAAGCAGAGCATTGAGCGTGGTGTCCACACCTGTAATCGCAGCACTCTGGAAGTGGATAGGGACGGTCACCAGGAGTTCAAGGCCGGGGGAGGGGGCGTAGCTCAGGAGCACAAGAGCCTGCCTGGCAGTGCAAGGTCCTGAGTCCTATTCCCAGTACTCCCCCCCAAAAAAAGTCAGTAAATGAGTTCAAGGCCAGCCTGAACTACATGGTGAGCCCCCAACTCAAAAAACAAAAACAAAAGTGGGAGAACCGACAGGAAGAAGGCAGCAAGTAGAGGCCCCAGGACATAGCAACCCTGATTTAGCAGAACCCTTGAGAATGTGGCCTTCCCGCTGCTTAAACAGCGAAGGAGTTATCTCAACCAGTGGAGGTGGCTACAGAAGCAAGTCTCTGTTCCCTTCTTTTTTTCTGAAATGGGTCTGCGTACTTCAGGCTGGCTTTGAATTCGTTATGTAGCCCTGGCTGACCTCCAGCTCGCGGTGAGCCTCCTGTCCCACACTCCTGAGTGCTGGCATTACTGGGGATCTAGCTCAAGGGGCACAGTGACTGCCTTCAAGTGCAAGGCCCTGAGTTCAACTGCTGGTACAAAAACAAAGAAAAAGAACTGAGGGCTGGGATTACAGGGATGCTTTTTTTTTTTTTTTTTTTTTTTTTAACTAACACCCCTCTAAACTGATTTTGCAATCCACCAAGGAAGTTAGAGCTATTTTAGTTCAATAATTACTGCTGAAGGGGGCACCCAAATCCACAAAATTAGCATAACATTCCTGCTTTCGCTTGAATCTGCTGATTATTTGGCCGGCCCTACATTTTCTTTTTGAGACAGTCTCGCTGTGAATTCCAGGCTCGCCTCGAACTCACAGCAATTGTTCTGCCTCAGTGTCAGTTGTCCTGACCTAGTGCTGTAATAATAGATGTGTACCACCATGCCTGGCTCAAATTCATTTTTTTTTTTTAAGGGACTAAATTTCCAAACAAGATAATAGGGGGCAACAATGGCAAATACATTGTGTATTGTTACTATATATATTGAACCCAGACCCTTGCACTTGTCAGGAAAGTGCTTATTCTGCTGAGCCATCTCTTTAAATTAGTTACTGGGAGTACAAGATATTGCTGGTTCAAAACTGGGCGTGGTGCGTCTGTAATCCCAGCACTCGGGAGGCTGAGGCAGGAGGATCATTGCGACTTCGAGCCCAATCGGGATACAAAATAAGCTTAAAATCAGCCTGGACTGCACAATGAGACCCTGTCTTAAAAAGACAGAAAAAAAAAAAAAAAAAATCACCGGCTAAATTCGTGGCATTTTAAATGAACACTGATTCCATTCTTCCCACGGCCCTTCAACCATGGATGACGCTTAGTCACAACCTACATCAAGCCCAGACTGACTAATGCTAAGAGAGAGGACCGTAATTAAAAAATAAAAAAGCCAGAAGGCTGACCTAGCCAACGCACAGGCGGCGCACAACCGCCACACAACCGCCACGCGCCTCACGCCTTTTAAGGGCTCAGAGGGCGCGAATCTGCCAGCCACTCGGCGTCCCGCCAATCATCGCGCCTCTCGCTACTTGCCCCGCCCCCCACCCAGCTCTGACCAATCGCTGGGCAGCTAGCTCCGCCTCTCCCTCCCGCCCCGACCTCAGGCGGCTAGAAGCCCTCCAACCTAGCTGGCGCCCAGCGGCGCTATTGCAGCCTAAATATATTTTTAGTTCTCGGAGCCAGCCGCCGACTCCTGACCCCGCCTCCTCGTCGCCCCCAATGGGAGACGGAGTTTCCGTCCTGTCACCGCGCGGGCAGGTGAGAACTGTCCAATCAGCGCTCGGGGAAGAACTGGCGTCATTAGAAAGCGGCGGAAGAAGGTGGGAGGGTCATGACGCAGCGAGTTTCTGTCGTGACTTTTCTGGGGGCAACAACTCGGCGTCCCCTCTTTTTGCCTTTAAAGTAAAACGTGTCCTCGACGCACCTCCGTCCGAACCGCGCGCCTTCCGGGGGGGCGGCCCCGGCGGAGGAGGGGCAGGGCTGACGCGAGCCCAGGGGACAGCCGGGTCACGTGGGCGTGTTGTGGGGGGAGGGGCGCGGCCGCGCGGTCGGTTCCGGGCGGTTGGGCGCGCGAGCGAGCGAGGGAGCGAAGGCAGCCGCGCCCGCCGCCGCCGCCGCCCCTGCTCTGTATGCGGCTCTCTCCCGGCGCGGCCGCCGCCGATCGCAGCAGCAGCCGCCGTCGCCGCGGTTGATGTGGTTGGGCCGGGGCTGAGGAGGTCGCCAAGATGCCGCAGTCCAAGTCCCGGAAGATCGCGATCCTGGGCTACCGGTCTGTCGGTGAGTGGCGGGGCGCGGCCTCCGGGCGCCGCTAGGGTCGGGGCCTTGTCTGGGCTCCGGGACGCGGCTGGGCCTCTGAAGTTTGGGGCCGGAGCGGCCATGTGGCGGGCGGGCGCGTTTCGTAACCACCATCTTGCGCGGAGGCGGCGGTCGGGGCGGCGGCGGCGGGCGGCGAGGGCTGCACCTGTCCCTGCGCGGCCACCGCCCGCGACCCACCTCCTCCCGCGTTCAGTAAAGTCCACCGGAGTCCAACAAAGCCCCAGCGCCATCTGGGGCTCCTTCCTTGGGGATGAAGTCCAGCCTTTCAGACAACGGGGGGCTGCAGAGGGCGTCGGGCGAGGAGGGCAAGTTTCCTACCCGAGAAGCTTAGCACGGCCCCCGCAGACCTTTTGAAGTCGGCTCGAGGACTGCCCGGCGGCCAAAATAGAAAGGGAGAGGGAAAGACAGTTCTGATTGCCCGGTGCCCTATTTTCCTCTGGAGGAAATAAGGTCAGGTATTTGGAACCAGGCTGTTGAAGTAATTCGAAAGTCGTCTTGGCTTTTCTCCCCACCCCACCCCCAGTAGTTGACACGCACTTGAAACTAATTGGCAGTCGGGTGGACGTGGGGGCGACAGGGTGTCATGAAAGGAGTTTTCTGTGCAGTTCGGGAGGAGGCAGAATTGAACTTAGCCCTGTCCTGGGGGAGGCGTTAGTGTGTTATCGGCGGAAGCCTGGACAAGTCGCTTCGTGGTTTTGTGTTGTTTTCAAGAAGTAACTAAAGCAAAGGTGCGCTCGACCGCGGGGTGGGAGTTGGCCCTAGGGGGTTGCGGAACGAGGTGACAGTGACTCCTGGGAAAGCTTGAAGCTGCTGCCGCCCATTGGACGGACTCCGCGGCACGCGCCCGGCTCCGCTTTTCCACCGCCGGTGCCAGGGTCTGTGCTCTTTGACCAGCTCGCGCGTGCTTACTCATCCTCGGGTGCTCGGGAGCATGGGGGCATCGGAGCAAGGAGAGGCTCGTTTGAGGCGTGGGATGGCGAGAGGGTGAGTCCTGTGTGGTGTGGGTACCAAGTTAGAGGGGAAGAGGGAGACCGAAGAGGACAGCCTTGACAGCTGGAGCTGTGTGCCCGAGTCGCGCCTTTTAATGACCCCCCACAGTGCACTGTCAAATGCCAGTGTGGACCTTGATTCCCCTACTGGGGTCGCCCTGCTGCTGCCTCTGTGTTCTCTTAGTTCCACCTCTGCGTTTTGGAGAGGACCGAGTCTCCCTCTTGTCTGATCAGATACACGGGGCCAGCTAATTGAAGGTAATAGGCCCAGAACGAGATCGGGTTACAGTGACGCCTACCTGGGCCACCAGATTTCAACCAAGACTGCGTTCTAGAGTTCCTTTCTTTACCACTTGTAAAATTCGAAATAAAAATTCTTCAGAGAGAAAGTGTTTCTGTCCGTTTGGTAAAGAAGTTTCTTTTATCTGCTGTGCTCTTTTTCTTCCTTGGAATCACTATCCTCTGGAACGAGGTGTGACCCAGTCACCCTTCTGCCATTTCTTCACTTTTATTTTAAACTGTTTGTTAAATGCCGTGCTAACTTAGGCTGCGAAGAGATAATACAGTAACTTATAACCTATTTTTGTGTCCTCAGTGTGGCACAAATCTATATCTTCCAGTTTCCATACTTGTTTTAAGCATAGTGTTAACGTGAAAGACTTTTTATGTATTTAGTGCAGGGTCTCACAGCACAGATCCGAATCATAGTGATCCTCCTGTTTTCAGCCTCCCAAGTGAAAGACGTTTTGGAGTGGTAACATTACTCCCCAAGACATTTGATTTACTGTTTGTTTTTGTGGTACCCGGGATCGAACTCAGGACCTTGTGCTTGCCAGGCAGCTGTTTGTTTTGGGACAGGGTCTCACTGTGTAGTTCAAACTATCCTTGAACTTGTTATGTAGTCCCGCCTGGCCTTGAACTTGTGGAGTTCCTCCTGCTTCAGGCTTCCAAGTACTGGGATTAGAGGCAGGGGCTGCCGCCCTTCCAGAGAAATTTGAGTATGTGTTTTCCCAAGTTATATGTTGTGATGTTAAGCCCTTGGGTTAAATTGACTGGCAATAAATCATTGTAGAAATAGGTTCACCTGAACAGTATCTTTCCTAAATGTTATGCCAATTTGACTGGAATATCATTATAACTCTCATGCCACAAACTTTTAGAAGTTTGCTTTTCATTAAATACACAAAATGCCATGGTTGTTTTACCTTCAAATTTTGTGGGGTTTTTTGAAACGTTGATAAAACTAATAATAGGGAAAATAGAATTCTCTGGTAATTGATGCGACTTTTTCCCCCTAAGTTCTTCCTGTGTCACTGAAAGTGTTAAAGCTTTTAAGGACACGTCACCTCAGGGAAGTTATTTGTGCTTGTTGTTTTTGTGGTGGCCAAAGGTACCAGTTCCCTTATTTTCTTTTGTTCCTAATAGAGCCCAGTAGCCTCACTGTAAGAGATTACTAAATTTAATTAAGTTAAAGTAGGGTCAGGTAAGCTGCCTTCAATCCGGTGTGTCCATCATGGGAGACTTAGAGGACTTAGGTAATCTAGTTTACCACTAGGCCATAATCAGAAGCTTACTTGTAATGTATAAGCTGCTTACATATGGTTAATAAGGGGGAAGTAAGCGATGATTAGAGAAAGTGAGGCTGCTTTGTGAGGCTCGGACATGGCAGCTCAGCAGAAGTCCTCGGGTGGTTGATGAACCTGGCCAGGATTCCTAGGTATCGCTGGGATATTTGATAAGGAAAAAGCTCATTAGCTTTGTGGTGGTCATTCCCAGTAGAACACCAAATTGTATTCTATTTTTAAATTATCTTGTCTTCTTCTGACACATTCCATCGGGGAAACTGAAAGGTACAAATATATACTTGCTGGTATAAAATCTGTCAAGTGTGTGAAGTTGTGTCTGTAGGTAGGTAGAGCATTTGGATCATTGGGTATCTAGGAGTGGTGGTGATCCTACAGTGGCTACTTTGTGCTGAAGCTGAAAGTTACCTTTTTTTTCAGTCTTATTCATTGTTTTGTACAAGAGAATAATCAGAGCTCACTTTGTGGTTATGACATTTCAGTGCCATATGTTATTTTTGATGTCCATGTTGACTTTAGGCTCATATTTAGCCCCCCCAAAACCCCATACTCATTAGCAGCCATTTCCCCTCTTCCCTTCCAAGCCCCTGGGAGTCAGTAATCTGTTTCTGTAGATTGGTCTAATCTGGACATGTTGTTCAAATTGAACCATATTTGTGTTGTGACTGACACCTTTCACTTAGCATAGTATTTCCAGGCTTTATCCACTTTGTAGCATCATCATGATTATTCCTATTTATGGCTAAATAATATTCCGTCGTGTGAGTTTGCCATATTTAGTTTGTCCCTTCATTGGTTGGATACAGGAGTTGGGTCTGTTTTTTTCAGAATAGCACTGTCATGAGCGTTCCTGTACAAACTTTTGTATAGATGTGTTTTCATGTCTCTTAGTTACAGTATGAGTGGAATTGCTTGGCCATACGCTAGCTCTGTTTAACATTTTGAGTAACTGTCGAGCTGTTTTCTAAAGCAGCTGCACCGTTTTATATTCCAGCCAACAGGATAGGAGGGTTTTAATTTTTTTCCCCACACAATCACTGCAGACTTGTTAGAGTTTGTTGGTGTTAGCTGCATAGTGGGCATGAGTACTGTCATGTATAATTTCTTCTGTCTGTAAGTTGCCTTGGCTTTTTTCCTTCGGTCTGGGGCTCAAACCCAGCACCTGGCCACTTGCTAGGCTGGCATTCTACCACTGAGCTACGTTCCTGGTCCTTTTCGTTTTCTTTTTATCATTTTTATTATTTATTTGGCAGGGGTCTCACTCCGTAGCTCAGACTTGTAGTGATCCTCCTGTCTCAGCCTCCCCAGCACTAGGATTAGAGGCATGTGCCACTACGCCTGGTTTCAGTGGCTGTCATGCACAACCAGTGTTCTGGGGCCTACACTGCATGTGGTACTGGGGATTGAATTCAGGTCCTTGTGCTTGCCAGGCAGGCGCTTAGACCGCTGTGCAATCTCCCAGCTTGCTGGTTTCTTTCAGATATTTTTATTCTGTTCTTTTTGTTTGGTGGTTGTTTTCTTTTCCTTTGCTGTACTGGGGATTGAACTCAGGGTCTTCATGTTGAGGTGGATCCCTAACCCTTTATACCTTCTATAATTCTGAGACAGGGTCTCACTGGGCTGCCCAGTTGCTCTGGCTGGACTGGGACTGGCAGTCTTCCTGTTTCATTTCCCCAGTGTGCTGGGATTACACGCAGGGACAACCATGCCTGGCCTACTCTTGTGCTTATATTTAGCTCTATTATCTGTTGGAAATTAGTATTTACTTAGTGTGAGAGAAGGGTACATTTTTCACCATGTTGCAAGACTCTTCATGGAATTCTTCTCTGGGCAATCAGATGATCATGGACTTAAGGACTTATTTCAAGACTCCCATTCTATTAATCTGTATGATTCTCCTTATATCACAGTCCTGCTTACTATTCTTTTGAAAGAGGGACATAGGAATCTTCTGTTCTTTTTCTAAATTGTTCCAGCTATTCTTATTTACTTACTTTTTGGCGGAACCAGGGATTGAACTCAGGCCCTTGCGCTTACCAGGGAAGCGCTTATTCCACTGAGCCATCTCCCTGGCCCCCATACAATATGTTATGTTAATGAAATATAAGATTAAAATCCAGCCCCACAGAGATGTATAGTGCAAGACAGGTGTTTTAATGTCTTTTACAGATCATTGTGGGTATTTGGTTTTCACCAGAATCACAAGTGATAACTTCTTTAAGCTAAATGTAGTGTGTGTGGTCTGAAAGAGTGGATGGACTTGTCCTGCTCTCCTCCGTAAAGCTGCATGGCTCGGCCTAGACCTTGGTTGGAACAGGTCTTCTGCCCTTGCCTCATTTGGTAGCCCCACGGCTTGGTCTTTAGTTCTGATACACACACTCCAGGTGCT